TTTTTTTTTTTTTTTAGTCCGATTCTCATTCTGTCTCCCAGGCTGGAGTGCAGTGGCACACTCACAGCCACTGCAGCCTCAGCCTGCGGGGGTCAGGTGATCCTTCTGCCTCAGCCTTTCAAGTAGCTGGAACCACAGGCACGTGCCATCACACCCAGCTAATTTTTTTTTTAACTGTAGAGACAAGGTCTCGCCAAGTTGCCTAGGCTGGTCTCAAATCTGTGGACTCAGGCAGTCCTCTTGCCTCTGCCTCCCAAAGTGCTGAGATGACAGGCATGAGCCACCACGCCTGGCTGACCTTTTTAAATTACGGCAATTTGGGACTCTCTGAGCTTCCCGCATCTGGATGTTTAAGTATTTTGCTCCCTCTGTTCGTCTTGGGGCCTGCGAGGGCCGGGGGCTCTCCCAGGGCTAGGCCTCAGAGTCTGTGGTGGGAATGTAGGCCTCTGGGGCCACTTCCTCACTCTTCTGCGGACTCCCAGTTGACCCTGGCCAAGGAGACTGCCTCGCCTCCCCGTCCTACCTGACTTTAGGCGTTGCCTGGCACGTACCTGCTGAATGTCAGGGTTTTCTCTTGGAAATCCCTAAGTATTTCCTTTGGTAGAGAGTGGCTATTCAGAGTGTGATTAGCCACTCGTTATTTTGGTTTTTCTCCGTGGAGGAGGCAAGTGCCAGATGTCTCTAGTCAGCCCCTCTCCCTCCATCATAATAGATACATTTGTCTTTCTCGACACCTGTATCACCTTGTGGTGATTACTGTAACTCTACAGTAAGTCTTGGCCAGGTGCAGTGGCTTGCACCTGTAATCCTCGCACTTCAGGAGACCGAGCTGGGGAGATAGCTTGAGGCTAGGAGTTCGAGACCAGCCTGGGTAACAGAGCAGGAACCCCCCCCCCATCTCTACAAAAAAATTAAAAACTTAGTCAAGTGCAGTGGGTCATGCCTGTCATCCCAGCACTTTGGGAGGCTGAGGCAGGAGGCTCGTTTGAGAACAAGAATTCAAGGCCAGCCTGGGCAACATAATGAGACCCCCATCTCTACAAAAAATTATTATAAAATTTTATAACATATAGTAAGTCTCATTGTCAGGTGGTGTGAGTCCTCCAACTGTGTTCTTTATTAAAATTGGACTCTCCTAGGTTCCTTATCATTTCCATACAGATTTTGGGATCAGTTCGGCAACTTCTCCTGAGGAGCCTGCTGGAATCTTGGTGGAGCTAACATTGAACCTGCAGATCTGATTGGGGAGGATAGTGTTGTCTCCTGACCCCAGAGCATGGCCTCACTCCCCACTGATCTGAGTCCTCTCCAGTTCCTCTCAGCCTTTTGCATCCCATCTTTTGTCAGATTTATCCCTAAGTATTTCTTTTGGTAGAGATTGAGGTCTCACTATGTTGTCCAGGTTGGTCTTGAACTCCTGGCTTCAAGTGATCCTCCTGCCTTGGCCTTCCAAAACACTAGGATTACAAGCATGAGCTACCATACCTGGACACTTTTTTAAAAATTATGTTATTACTATTATTATTGTTTAAAGAAACAGTCTCACTCAATCACTCAGGATAGAGTACAGTGGTGCAGTCACAGCTCATTGCAGCCTCCAACTCCTGGGCTCAGACGATCCTCCTGCCTCAGCCTCCCTAGTAGCCGGGACTACAGACATGGGCCACCACACCCAGCTAACTTTTCAATTATTTTTAGAGCTAGGATCTCATTATGTTGCCCAGTCTAGTCTTGAACTCCTGGCCTCCAGCAGTCCTCTCACCTTGGCCTCCCAAAGTGTTGAAATGACAGGCGTGAGCCCCCACGCCCAGCCTGTCCCTGGGCATCTTCTCCTTTGGTGCTACTGTCAATGCCGTTTAGCCAGCACGTTCTGCCATGTTTCCCTCCCCCCTGCAGCCATTTCCTGGGCCACGGTGGGACCCGGCCCTTACAGTCCAGCAGCTATTTCTGGGTGCCAGCAGGGGAGGTGCGATGCCTCTGCGACCCTCAATTCCCCGTCTCCTTTCTTCCCTCCAGAGAGAGTCCACATCTCCACGCCCAACAAGTACGAGTTCCAGTATGTGCAGCGGCCACTGCGCCTCACGCGCTTTGACGTGGCCGTGCGGGCCCACAATGACGCCCGCGTGGCCCTGTCTTCCGGGCCCCAGGACACAGCGGGCATGGTCGAGATCGTGCTGGGAGGCCATCAGAACACCAGGTCATGGATCTCCACCAGCAAGATGGGCCGGCCTGTGGCCGGTGTGCACACGGCCAGGATCCTCTCCTGGGATGAGTTCCGAGCATTCTGGATCAGCTGGCAGGGTGGGCTCATCCAGGTACAGCGGGAGGGCTGGCTTGAGCCAGGACTTCATGCTTCTCCGGTGTTTGCCACTCCCTGTCTGTGCCGGGCTTGGATAGAGGCGGGGAGGAGCGAGGGGGACACAGCGCCCGTCAAGTGTGCTCAGCCGCTGGAGTTGCGTGCCAAGAAAATTAACGTAGCCAGAGCTGCAGGGAGGAAGCACCAGCAATGTGGGGGCAGAACGGGGTGGTCGGTGGTCAGGGAGGTAGGAAAAGCGGATGTGGGTGAGAGAGACGGGCAGAGGCCCTTTCTGGGCCAAGCAAAGGGCATATAAAAAAGGAGCAGCTAACACAGCTTTCCAGGTGTGGGGTATAAGCAAACGTGGTTTTGAAGGATGAAGAGTTCACCAGCAAGAACAGGGAGCAGAGGATGTTTCAGGCGGAGAGGCCAGCATGTACAAAAGTCCAGAGTTCCCAGGGAGCCTGGTGACTTTGGAACTTGGAGACGCCTCTCCTGTGCCTCTGTTGGCCGTTTAATGCATGGGGTGACCTCTGGTTTCTCTCACCTCGGGCTCCTGAAGACTCTGCCCTGCACTGTGAGCGTGACGGAGGCCGCTGCCCGTGGCCCTGCAGCCCGAGTGCCCCTCAGTTTCCCGCCAGCATCCGGGGGCTCTGCTCTCTCTTCCCAGGTTGGCCGTGGGCCAGAGCCATCCAACGAGTCTGTCATCATGGCCTGGACTCTCCAACAGCCCCTTGAGGTCCAGTTCATCGGCTTCTCCACTGGCTGGGGCTCCATGGGCGAGTTCCGGCTCTGGAGAAAGATGGGGGCGGACGAGAGTGACAGCGAGGCCTTCACCCTGGGGGTCCCGCACGGCGCCGTGCCTGGGTCCGAGCGTGCCGCTGCCTCTGTCATCGGTATGTCCACCCACGCTGGTTGGGGGATGGAGACGGGAGCCAGGGTCCACCCTGGGCTCAGTCTCAGGCTGGGCTCTGCTAGGGACTGTTCCCCTGGGGCCCCCACCCCCGCGCCTGAGCATCCAGGGCCTGCTCTGTGTCCATCCAGGTGCTGGGTGCTGACCCCAGCCCCACCCTGAGGGACTCCCTGTCTGACAGGAGGGCGGTCCAGGCCCACCCAGTCCAAACACCGTGGCGGGAGGGATGGGCAGGGTGGAGTGGCCCTCAGGACTTGCGGGGAACCCTCCCGAGAGTGGTGCTCCAGGAACAAGGTCCAGGAGGCCACAGTGCCAGGTGAAGGCCCAGGGCTGGGGCGGGGTCTGAGGGTGCTGGCGAGAGGCAGCCTTCTGGAGCAGCTGCAAGTAGAGGGAAGGGGCTGACGGGGGTCTTTGGAGCAGCCTGGGAGTCTCTGGGCGGGGGTGCTGTCTCTAGGAGCCCAGGCACAATGCTGGGAGTGGGGTAGAAGGGCAATGGGAGTGTGGGGCGGGTTGGAAGAAAAGGGCCAGAGGTCGGTCGGGTACAGACAGGCCCGGGTGGGAGGGCTGGGAGGGCTCAGGCCTCTCTGACCACAGAAGGCAGAAGCCCTTGGCCCTGGGTAGGCTGGCGGTTGTGGCCGGATCGGAGGATGTTGGCGCTTACAAAGTCAGAGGTGGCCATGGAGCTGAGTGCCCAGGTGGGGGTGAGAGGCGCAGGAGAAGAGACAGATGGGCAAGGGTGGAGAGCAGGCGAGGGCCGGGACCCAGATGCCAGTGCCATCAGCTCCGGTGAGACAGGGAGGGGACAAGAAGCTGGGAAACCCAGGGGAGCGTGATGAGGAAGTAGTAGGTGGGCAGTTCCCAAGCCAAGAGGAGGCTTGGGGGCCTCAGTGAGGCCTGAGGAGAGGCCAAGGAGGGGAGGCGTGTTCAGGGGACGTTGGGGATTGAAGAGGGCCTGTTGACAGCGTGTGGGACAAGGAGACCGAGAGGAGGAAGACGGTCGCCAAAGGCGTGAGAGAACAGGAAAGCAGAAACCTGAGAGGGAGAGAGGGAGAGGGAGAGGGAAAAATGCACCGGGAAACCTTTCTAAAAATGGAAACACTCGTGGTTGAGGAGAAAATCACATTTTGTATTGGAAACTAGAAAAAGATATTTAGAACAAGAATGGCTGTTTTGACACACCGGTGTCTGTGGGATGCAGCTAAAGTCGTACGTAGAGGGCAGTTTATAACCTTAAATACATCTGTTCGAAAAAACCGAAAGAAAAAGGCGTTGAACAGAATGAAAAACCAGAACAAGAATGCTCACATTTAAAACTACAGAACACAGAAGGAGGTGTTTAGGGAAAATGAGCAGATGGTCACAAAGCTGGCACACGAGGTGGTCTGAGTGGGCAGAGGGTGTGGGCCCCAGCGGACAGCACTGGCAGGCTGAGTGGCTAGCGTGAGGGCACAGGAGGACTCCCATCCCTGGGGAAAGCTGTCCCTGTGCTCTGCTGGCCTGGGACAGCCTCAGCCCCGCTCTCTTCTCCTTCCTGCCAGGGGACGTCATGGGCCCCACCTTGAGCCACCTCAGCAACCTGCTGCGGCTGCCCTTTGGCTGCGGAGAACAGAACATGATCCACTTTGCTCCCAATGTCTTTGTCCTGAAGTATCTTCAGAAAACCCGGCAGCTCAGCCCTGAGGTGGAGAGAGAGACGACCGACTACCTGGTGCAAGGTACAGGGGCCCTGCCCGGGTGGCGCGAGCCAGGGGAGCGGGCTCCGCCCTCAGTGGGGAGACCCACACACCAGGTTCCGGGGGGGGAGGGCTCAAAAGAGTCTGTGCCAGCGGCCGTTGTCAGCAGCGGGCTGGTGTCTGTGGCTGTCGGGACAAGGCTTGCGCCCCAGGGAGACGCGAACTCACAGGCACAACTTTGCAAGGACCGGTGGGTGCCCGTCTCAGACAGTGCCGGGCCCATCTCAGATAGAGAGACGGAGAAACATGAGCACCTTGATGCCTGGGGCCAGTCGAGCTCCGGACTCCTGGCAGTCGAGGTTTGCACAGCAACTCTGCTCGGTTATAAGATCACCAAGGGTGGTGCTGATGGTCTGGAATAATCTGGTCTCATGGATGGAAAAAGGAAAAGGAAAGAACTTATGATGAGGAATGTACAAGTCTCAGGTGGAAAAAGAGACTGTGCCTGGCATGGTGGCTCTCGCCTGTAATCCCAGCACTGTGGGAGGCTGAGGTGGGAGGATCGCTTGAGGCCAGAGTTCCAGACCAGCCTGGGCGACACCATGGACCTTCATCCCTACAGAAAAAAATAAAATAATTAGCCAGGAGTGGTGGCACCTGTAGTGTCAGCTGCTTAGGAGGCTGAGGCAAGAGGATCACTTGACCCCAGGAGGTAGAGGCTGCAGTGAGCTATGATCACATCACTGCACTCCAACCTGGGAAACAGAGCAAGACCTAGAACTTTTTCTTTTGTGAGTCAGAGTCTCTCTATCGCCCAGGCTGGAGCACAGGGGCATGCTCACAGCCACTGCAGCCTTGACTTGCTGGACTCAGGTGATCCTTCCGCCTCGGCCTTCCAAGTAGCTGGAACCGCAGGTATAAGTCACCACGCCTGACTAACGTTTTGATTTGTTGTAGAGATGAGGGCTCTCCAAGTTGCCCAGGCTGGTCTCGAACCCCTGGGATCAGGCAATCCTCTCGCCGCCACCTCCCCAAGTGCTGGGATGACAGGCATGAGTCGCCGTGTCTGGCTAGGACTAGAACTTCAAAAAAAGAAAAAGAAACAGGGTGGCCACAAGCTGCAAATCTGACTTTGTGAAGACTGGCCACAGACAGTGGGAAGGCCAAATCCACTTAGGCTTGGGCCTGGGGCTTACTGGGACTTGTGAGGTCCGAGAGGTGGGTGGCACTGGCATATGGGTCCCATCCCTGGGGACAGACACTCCTTGGTGGACCCATCTGAGCCCAGAGCCCTGAATGCCACCCAGAGCCTAATGAGCCCCACCTGGGATGACAACCAGAGCCTCCCAGGACTCCAGACCCCACGTCTGTCCAGCCAGCTGCCGGCTCAGATGCAACAAACCCTCAACCAGCCGCCACTCCACCTCCCCCAAGCCTGCTCATGTGGGTTGCCACACCTGGGTGACTCAGAACAGGCATTTGTTCCCTCACACAGTGGAGGCCAGAAGTCCAAAGCCAAGTTGGGGGCAGGGATAGCACCCCGGAGCTTCTGAGGGAGGATCCGTCCCAGGTCCCTCTCCTGTTCCTGGTGGCCTCAGGCCTCCCGGGGCTAGTAGACACATCACCCTGTTCTCTGCCTCTGTGGTCACATGGTTGTCTCCTCCTCTGTGGCTGGTTCCCTGTCTTTTTTTTATTCTCTCCCTGTTTGTCGAGACAGAGTCTCTCTCTTTCCAGGCTGTGGTGCAAGATGCAGTGATAGCTCACTGCAGCCTCAACCTACTGGGCTCAAGGGATCCTCCTACCTCAACCTACTGAGTAGCTGGGATTACAGGCACATGCCACTGTGCCCCGCCCCTTTTCTCTTATAAAGACCCACCCTGAATCCAGGGTGGTCCCGTCTCGAGATCCTTACCTTCATTATATCTGCAAAGATCCTCATTCCAGTAAGGTCCCCTTCTGGGGTTCCAAGTGGATGTGAATGTGGGAGACCTTGTCCACTAGCAGAGTTCTTCTCACTCCTTGTCCCATCTCCACGGACGCAGCCCTGACCTTCCGAGGCCCAGGTTGCTCACCCGGGTGCCCTCGATCCTCCTTTCTTCCCTTACATGCCGACCCAGTTGGGCAGCTCTGTCTACACCCCGACTGGCTCCAAGCCCCTCTGGTACACACGGAGGGTGCTCCTCCCCAGCTTCCTGGCTGGACCCTCCCATACCCCCGCTACAGATGTCTCCTCACCCCCTCCTCCTGCTCACACACCCGCCATGGCGCCCTGCTGCCCTCACAGCAAAGCCAAACCCCCAGCCTGGCTCGGCGGCCACTGTGGCCTGGCCAGCCTCTCTCTGCTGCCTCCTAGGCCCTGCCTGGGCCACCCGATGCCTTCTGTTCACCGAGCCCGACAGGCTCTGGGGTCAGCAGGTGGAGCAGCCCAGCCCTGGGGATGGTGGGCACTGCCCCAAGGCAGTGGGCTCCATGGGCCTCCTGGCCACGATGAAGGCTGGTATGTGGCGGGAGGCGCAAAGAGGCAGTGCCAGTCACGAGATGAGTAACTTTGCAGCCACCCAGATGTGGCGTGGGTCAGTTTCCAGGACCCCAGATGTGGGCATGAACAATTTCAAGGCTCCCGACGTGGTGTGGGACAGGTCCGGGGAGCCCAGACATGGTGTGGAGGGTCGGGGGTGCGGACAGCAGGCCTGGCCAAGTTAGCGACTCAGCAGCGCATGGTCCCTTCTGCCTGCCCACAGGCTATCAGCGGCAGCTGACCTACAAGCACCAGGATGGCTCCTACAGTGCATTTGGGGAGCGGGACGCGTCAGGCAGCATGTGGTGAGTCCCCACAGCCTGGGCACAGCCTCTGAGGCTCCCTTCCAGCTCAGCATGGCAGGATGCCCGGGGCCTGATCCCAGGGCAGTGGGGAACCTGACCAGGAAACCAGGGGTTCAGAGGGCAGATGCTCACGGGCCAGGGCCTGGCAGAGCAGGTGGTCGATGCTATTACTCTTTCTGCTGCTGTTGTTGTTGTTACCACAGTGACCAGGAGCCAATCCCTGCGCCTGGGCCCACAGCAGCAAGTCCTGGGCCTCCTTGGAGCCCACCAGCCCTGGGCAAGGGGCTACCCTGAGCAGGAGGAGATGGGCAGGGAAGAGGGTTAGCGACTGGGTGCAAGGTGGCGGGGGAAGTGGCCCAGGACCTTTTCCTGGGTCATGACCCTCCCTGGCTGGAGAAGGATGGAGCTTGGGCTGCGGGACTGGTCTTGTTCCCTGGGATGCCCAGGCTGTGCCATCCTTGGTCCACCGTGGGACTTCCTGAAGTGGCGGTCCCCAGCCCCGCCCACACCCATCCACTCTCCTCCCTGGAGGTCGCCGGCCTGCAGTGCCCGTAGAGGCTGTGTGTGTGGATGCCGCCTTGTCCTCAGTCCAACAGGACCCGTGGCCGCAGAGCCTGCCCGGCGGTGGGACACACTGGCCGAGGGCCCGGGCAGTGGGTGGCACCCCGAGGCCCAGACTTGGTGGTTTGCCTGGAGCCCCAGCAGCCCGGGCACCGTCCTGCTCTGGTCACGGGCCCTGCCTTGCTGACAGCTCGTGAGGCAGGGCCCCTGCGGCCTGAGGCCTCGCCCACCCCAGGGACAGGAGAACCACTGAGGCACCCCAAGCTCGGCAGCCCAGGAGGTCTCCATGACCATACTGCACTGTGGCCACTCTGCACCCTTCCCTGTGTGCACCACACCACATCTGTCGGGGACCGAACCCACAGCGTGAGCAAGCACAAGCAGCCTCCACTGGGTTCGAAGGAACAGCTCCCAACAGCCCCATCCCTGCCTACCTTGCAAAATGACCCTGCCAGCTCCAAATGGGCTGTCTGACCAGGGCTGCTACAGGACAAGGCAGCCATAAGCACAGGGTGGAGGAAAGTGGCTTCCACCCCGGAGCTGGCAGCCCTAGCTTGTCTCGTGGGAGCTGTGTGGCCTTGGACCTGATGCCTGACCTCTCAGGCCCCGAGTCATGGGACAGGCATGTGGTGTGCACAGTGCACACCACCTGCTGGTGCAGCCCTGATGTTCACCTGAGAGGTCAGGTCCAGCCTGGAAGTCGCAGATCCTGCCCTGCAGCAGAGGGCTCTATGTAGTCAGTGTGCTTCTTTCCATCCATCTGTCCATTCAACACTGAGTGCCTGCTATGTGCCTGGCCCTGGCCTTAGTCCTGGGGGATCAAGGAAGGCCTGGCTCCTGCCGCCAGGAACTCACTACAGAGTGAGGGAGAGGGATCCCGTATGAGATGCAGCCGTCATCTACTGCTGCGTACCAAGTTACCAAACTATACCCTTTAAGGCATCAGCCATTTTGTGTTTCGTTTTTGTTTTTTTTTTTGAGTTGGAGTCTCACTCTGTCGCCCAGACTGGAGTGCAGTGGCCACTCCCGGCCCCCGCAGCCTCAACCTGCTGGGCTCCAGCGATCCTTCCGCCTCAGCCTTCCGAGTAGCTGGAACTACAGGCGCGCGCTTCCACGCCCGGCTGATTTTGATTTATTGTAGAGATGAGGTCTTGCCAAGTTGCCCAGGCGGGTCTCGAACCCGCGGGCTGAGGCAATCCACTCACCTCAGCCTCCCAAAGGCGTGGGATTACAGGCTGAGCCACCGAGCCCGGCTTCGTTTTGTTTTTGAGATGGGGTCTTGCTGTGTCACTCAGGCTAGTCTGGAACTCCTGGGCTCAAGCAGTCCTCCTGCCTTGGCCTCCCAAAGTGCTGGGATTACAGGCCCGAGCTACTGCACGGGGCCCTACAAACCTTTATCATCTCGGTGGTTGTGGGTCAGGAATTCAGGAGCCACTTAGCTGGGTGTTTCTACCTGAGAATCTTTCCTGAGGCTGCGACCCAGGATGTGGAGCGGGGAGTGCAGGCAGCCCGCCACGGTCCCCTGGCCAACGCGCAGGGATGACGCGGTCCACGGCCCCAGCCCTGCCTCGCCCCTCCCCAGGCTCACCGCCTTTGTGCTGAAGTCCTTTGCGCAGGCACGCAGCTTCATCTTCGTGGACCCACGGGAGCTGGCGGCTGCCAAGGCCTGGATTGTCGGGCAGCAGCAGGTGGATGGCGCCTTCCCAGCCGTGGGCAGGATCCTCAACAAAGACATCCAGGCGAGTGGCCCTGCGGCCCCGACGGCTCTGCCCCACCCTGTTCCTGCTCCTTGGGGGACGGGGAGGGGCTGTCTCTCCGCCCAGGGTGAAGCCTGCAGTCTCTTTGCAGGGCGGGATCCGCGGAGCAGTCCCTCTGACGGCCTATGTGGTGGCCGCTCTCCTGGAGACAGGTGCGGCCTCAGAGGTGAGGGCAGAGGAAGGCCCGGGATCTGGGGTCTGGGGCTGGAAGAGCAAGCTGGCGGTCTCCCCTCGTGGCCAAGGCAATGTCTTCCTCGCCGCCCTAAAAAAAATCTCAGTAGCGGTCAGGCGTGGTGGCACACACCTGTAGTCTTGAGAGGCTAAGGTGGGAGGACTGTTTGAGCCCAGGAGGTTGAGTCCTGCCCGGGTGACAGAGTGAAACCCTGTCTCTAATTGAAAGACTAGAATAGAAGAAGCTTGAAAGTTGGGCTGCAGGCCGCATGAGCCACAGAGAGATGCCAGGCCGGAAGCTACCCACCATCCAGGCTCTCACCAGGACGCCAGTGGGTGGCGGTGGGATAGGCCAGAGCAGCCTCCCGGGCTTCCCCTTCCCACCCCCTGCAGGAGGAGAGAGGCGCCATCGACAAGGCCAGGCGCTTCCTGGAGTCCGGCATGGCCCTGGCCTCCGACCCCTACAGCTGCGCCCTGACCGCCTACGTGCTGACCCTGCTCCACAGCCCAGCCGCCCCGGAGGCGCGGCGCAAGCTCCGCAGCCTGGCCATCCTGCGCGGTAGGCTGGCCGGGGGAGGGGGGGGAATTGGGTTCGGACGCCTCCAGCCAAGGAGTGCCCGGCTCCTGGCGGGGTGTGTTGACATCTTCCCTGCGGCTGCATCTCATGGCGCCCACGGGTGAAGCAGCTGGCTGTGGTCATGGCCCGCGCGTGGCCTGATGCTCTTGCCGATGGCGCATGTGGCCACTTGCCGCTTGTGGGCTGAAACAAACGTTGAAGGAAGGGTCTTTACTACAGAAACCAGCAGGTGGGGAGGTGGCGAGGCTCTGGCCTCAAAGAAGCCATGTCTAATTTCCAGGCTGAGAGAATAGGGTGCTAAAGGGGAATGAGGAATGCAGGACATCTGGGGCAGCATGGGGTGGGGCAGATCTGGCCTCGATGGCCGTCTTGAATCGTCCACCTGGGGGCTGGCCAGCACCATCCTTACTGGGGCCAGGTGTAGATGAACCTTCTTCAGGTGAGCTCTAAACAGTGGAGGATTCTGCCAGGGAGTCCTCATACTCTCTTACTTCCAAGTCAGCCTCTGGAATTTCCCACGCATATGCACAGTTAGATTAGAAAGAAATTATCACCTTGGCTTAAAACCATTTCTCAAAAGCTGAGCTGCACATTCTCAGGAGGGAGGGCAGTACTCACGGGTCCCCAGCAGAGGGTGGAGCTCCCAGGGTCCTGGACACCATCCCAGGAGAGGGATGCTGGAGGTGGGAGGCTGTGGCTAGGGCCACCTTGGGAAGCCATCTCCGTCTTTGGGGTGTCAGTCTCCCCACTCACAAGATGATCGCCCACTGGAGCCTCAGTCACAGAGCTGAGAGTCTCAGAATGTCCCCGCTGTCTCCTCCCCGGCCCCTCCTCCCCGTCATCCGTTGGCTGCGCTGGGCCCAGCCTCCTTCAGGCTCCTCTGCCTAAGATGACACCTGAAGAACTGTGTTCCCTGCTTAGGAAAGAAAAGTTAAAAAGCAAAATGCTAAACCACCCAGTTGGATGGTGGTGTCTGCTCAGGACTAAGTGCTCAGATAAGAGTGGGAGTGGGAGGTGAGAGATGGGAGGTGAAGGGGGGTGCTGGTTTCTTGCTTTTACACCTCATGCGAGCTAAGACCCTAGGAGACCCTGCAGTGTGGGGAGGGTAGAGGGGACCTGGGCATGGAGGGGAACATCTGGGACCCATCAGGACCCAGCCAGGGGGGAGGCCATAGATGAGCGTTACCTCCAGGGGTGCAGGAAGGTAGCCATTGGTGCGGGGTGTCTGCCAGGGCAAAGGAAGGCAGCCAATGATGAGGGATGTCTACCAGGGGACAGGAAGGTAGCCATTGATAAGACATGTCTACCAGGGATACGAGAAGGCAGCCATTGACTAGGAATGTCTACCAGGGGCCCAGGAAGACAGCCACTGATTAGTAATGTCTACCAGGGGCATGAGAAGGCGGCCATTGATTAGGGATGTCTAGCAGGGGCACAGGAAGGCAACGACTGATTAGGAATGCCTACTGGGGCATGAGAAGACAGCCATTGATTAGGGATGTATACCATGGGCACAGGAAAACAGCCATTGACTAGGGATATCACGTAGAGGCAAGGGAAGACTGTCATTGCTTAGGAATATCTGGCAGGGTCATGGGAAGACAGCCATTGATTAGGGATGTCTACCATGGACACAGGAAGGCAGCCATTGATTAGGGATGTCTGGCAGGGGCACTAGTATGCAGTCACTGATTAAGGATATCTACCAGGACTACAGGAAGACAGCCATTGATTAGTGATGTTTACCAGAGTCATGGGGAGGAAGCCATTAATTAGGGGCATTTGGCAGGGGTATAGGAAGACAGCCATTTGTTAGAGATGTCCAGCAGTGGCACGGGAACAGTGGCATGGGAAGACAGTCATTGATTAAGGATGTCTGGCAGGGTCATAGGAAAGCATTGGGGAAGGTTGTTTAGCAGGGACGTGGGAAGACAGCTATGGATGCCTACCAGGGGCACAGGAAGGCAGCCATTGATGAGGAATGTCTGCCAGGGTCACTGGAAGGTAGCCATTGATTAGTGATGTCTGCAAGAAGTAAAAAAAAAAAAAGGCAGCCATTGATTAGCAATGGCTACCATAGGCACAGGAAGGAAGACATTGATTAGGGATGTCTGGCAGGGGCCTGGAAGACAGCCATTGATTAAGAATGTCTACCAGGCTGGGCTCGGTGGCTCAGCCTGTAATCCTGCGCCTTTGGGAGGCTGAGGTGAGTGGATTACCTGAACCCGTGGGTTAGAGACCCGCCTGGGCAGGCGAGACCTCATCTCTACAATAAATCAAAAAATCAGCCAGGCGTGGTAGCGCATGCCTGTAATTCCGGCTACTCGGAAGGCTGAGGCGGAAGGGTCACCGGAGCCCACAGGTCGAGGCTGCGGTGGCCGGGAGCGGCCACTGCACTCCAGTCTGGGTGACAGAGTGAGACCCCAACTCAAAAAAAAAAAAAGAATGTCTACCAGAACCATGGGAAAGTAGCCACTGATTAGTGTCTACCAAGGGGCATGAGAAGGCAGCATAGATAAGGGATGTCTACCAGGGTATGGGAAGACAGCCATTGATTAGGAATATCTGGCAGGGGCATGGAAAGGCAGCATTGATGAAAAATGTCTAGCATAGGAAAAGAGCCATTGATTAGTGAGGTCTACCAGGGGCACAAGTAGTTAGCCATTGTTAGGGATGTTGGACAGGAGAACTGATGACAGCCATTGAGTATTGATATCTACCAGAGGACCCAGAGGGAAGACATTGATTAAGGATGTCTGCCAAAGACACAGCTCTGCAACCATTGATTGGGAATACCTACCAGAGGCCCAGAAGACTGCCATTAATTAGTGATGCCACAGGGGCACAGGAAGACAGTCATTGATTAGGGATGTCTGGCAGGGCCACAGGTAGGCAGTCGTTGATTATGGATATCTACCAGAGGCATGGGGATACAGCCATTGATTAGCGATGTCTACCAGGAGCAAGGGGAGGCAGCCATTGATTAAGAATGCCTCTCCTGCGCCTTTGGGAGGCTGAGGTGAGTGAACTGCCTGAGCCCGTGGGTTCAAGACCTGCCTGGGCAGCGAGAACTCATCTCTACAATAAATCAAAAAATCAGCCAGGCGTGGTAGCGCATGCCTGTAATTCCAGCTACTTGGAAGGCTGAGGTGGAAGGATCGCCGGAGCCCAGCAAGTCAAGGCTGCGGTGGCCGGGAGCGACCACTGCACTCCAGTCTGGGCGACAGAGTGAGACTCCAACTCAAAAAAAAAATTAAAAAAAGAATGCTTGCCAGGGGCATGGAAAGGCAACCATTTGGTTACAGATATCTACCAGGGCAATGGGAAAGCAGCCATTGATTAGAGATGTCTATCCAGGATATGGGAATGCAGGCATTGACTAGAAACACCTTCCAAGAGCATGAGTAGGCAGCCATTGATTAAGGATGTCTGCAAGGGCCACAAGAAGGCAGCTGTTGATTAAAGATGCCCACCATGGGCACGGTAAGGCAGTTATTGATTAGAGATGTCTACCAGGGGCAGAGAAAAGCAGCCTTTGACTGGTGATACCTGGCAGGGGCACAGGGCGTGCTGGGGCTGCCATGTGTTTGCAGGTCTGAGATGGAGCCCTGATGCTCTTCCTGTTCCAGCTGTCATCCCCTGGCTGTTTCCCTCCACAAGTGTCCCAATATGTCTTCCCTAGGCTCCATGCATGGGCACCCACAGTGGGGCGTCAGGCTGAGCGTGGGGTGGGACTGTGGCCCCTGACTCTCCTGTCCTTGCAGATGGTGTCACCCACTGGAGCCTGAAAAGTTCCCGGGACATGGACAAGGGCACGTTCCTGAGCTTCAGGGACAGAGCCTCTCAGTTAGGTACTGGTCACCCCGGCTCCCCACTGCCTGCCCTGGCCTCTGCCTGTGTGGCATTGTCCTGTGTCCTGGTGTGGAAAGGGCCCAGTCGGCCTCCTCTGTTGCAGTGGTCTCGGCCGAAGTGGAGATGACAGCTTATGCCCTTCTGACCTACACTCTCCTGGGTGATGTGGCTGCCGCCCTGCCCGTGGTGAAGTGGCTGTCCCAGCAGCGAAATGCACTGGGGGGCTTCTCCTCCACTCAGGTGAGTGGAGCAGGGCCAGAGGGCAGAGCTCGGGTTGGGCGGTGTCAGCAAATCCCAAGATCTGGGACTGTGAGCTGGCCGGCAGCCCACCCCGGACTACCTGCAGGCTTGGGGGCCTGGAACGCAAGAGGGGCAGGGGTGGGGCTGAGGGACAGGTGAGCCTGGGCCTTCGGTGGGAACCCAGGCCCGGCCGCCATGAACACTCCAGCCTGGCTGTTTGGAGGCCCAGCTCCGCGAGGGTCATCCCAGGTTTGGTCTCCGTGCTAGCCTCGTTGGCGCCATTTCCAAAGGCCAGCCTCCCTGAACAGGGCCAGCGGGTTACTGGGGCTGCTGAGGTCTCCCCCTCTGTCCCCAGGACACCTGTGTGGCTCTTCAGGCCTTGGCTGAATATGCCATCTTGTCCTACGCTGGCAGCATCAACCTCACGGTCTCTCTGGCCTCCACCAACCTGGACTACCAGGAGACCTTTGAACTGCACAGGGCCAACCAGAGGGTTCTGCAGACAGCGGCGGTACGTGCTTCCGGACGGGGTGGGTGGTGTCGGTGGGTCTCAGGGCCTCATGGTGGTCCTTCTCTCTCCAGATCCCCAGCCTCCCCACGGGGCTGTTTGTGAGCGCCAAGGGGGACGGCTGCTGCCTCATGCAGGTGAGGCTTCAACCTCTCCGCACCCTTCCCCCCACACCGTGGCATCTGGGGCCCTGGGGACTCCCAAGGGCTCATCCTGCCCAAAGTGGCCACAGGCACCCTCAGGTGTGGGGTCTCAGGGATCCCCCAGAAAAATCCACTTGGAGCCGGGCTCGATGGCTCAGCCTGTAATCCGGGCCTTTGGGAAGCTGAGGTGAGTGGATTGCCTGAGCCCGCGGGTTCGAGACTTGCCTGGGGAACTTGGTGAGGCCTCATCTCTACATAAATCAAAAAATCAGCCAGGCGTGGTAGCGCATGTCTGTAATTCCGGCTACTCGGAAGGCTGGGGTGGAAGGATCACCGGAGCCCAGCAGGTTGAGGCTGCGGGGGCCGGGAGCGGCCACTGCACTCCAGTCTGGGTGACAGAGTGAGACTCCAACTCAAAAAAAAAAAAAAATCCACTTGGCCCTCAGTTCAGACACAAGCAGACGCCATCTGCCATTCACCTGCTCACCATGGGGTTTGCCCAGTGGCTCGAGTCTGTTCCCCCTGCTGTGAGCTGGACAGGGATGCCCAGGTGGACTCCCCGACTGCTGTCCTCAGCCACTGTCACCACTATATTGGACTAGGGTAGGTGGGTCTCCTGGGTTCTGGCTCGCAGTCAGAGGGCAGATGGCTAGCCTCAGCTTAGTGATGCCTTCCAGGGGCACAGGAAGGCAGCCATTGATTAAGGATGTCTGGCAGGAGCACAGGTAGGCAGTCTTTGATTAGTGATGTCTACCAAGAGCACAGGGAGGCAGCCATTGATTAAGAATGCCTACCGGGGTGTGGAAAGGCAGCCGTTGGTTACAGATGGCTACCAGGCGATGGAAAAGCAGCCACTGGTCAGAGGTGTCTACCCAGGTACGGAAATGCAGCCACTGACGAGGCACACCTACCAAGGGCATGAGTAGGCAGCCGCTGAGGACGGACGTCTGCAAGGCCACAAGAAGGCAGCTGTTGATTAGAGATGTCTGCCAGGGCACAGGCCGCAGACGTGCTTTCCAGGGGCAGAAGCAAGCAGCCTTTGATTCCCGTTCCCGTCTCCAAAATGGGAGCCCAAGCCTGGCACAGTGGCTCATGCCTGTAATCCCAGCAATCTGGGCAGCTGAAGCGTGACAACCACTTGAGGCCGGGAATTCCAGACCCCGTCTCTACAAAGGAATTTTTTCTTTTAGAAAGTAGGATTTATTGAGAGGGCAGCAAAGCTCCCAGAGCAGGAGGGGACCTGAAAGAGCAGGAGGGGACCTGAAAGAGCAGGCGGGGACCTGAAAGAGCAGGAGGGGACCTACAAAAGAAATTTAAAAATTAGTCAGGTGGCCAGGCTCGGTAGCTCAACCTGTAATCCCAGCATTTTGGGAGGCCAAGGTGAGTGAATTGCCTGAGTCCACAGGTTCGAGACCAGCCCAGGCAACCTGGTGAGACTTCATCTCTACAATTAAAAAAAAAAAAAAAATTAACCAGGTATGGTAGGGCACACCTATAGTTCTGGCTACTTGGAAGGCTGAAGTGGAAAGGATCACCTGAGCTCAGCAGGTCGACGCTGGGATGGCCATGAGTGTGCCACAGCACTCCAGCCTGGGCTAGAGTGAGATTCCAACTCCAAAAAAAAAAAAAAAAAAAGCCAGGTGTAGTGATACATGCCTGTAATCTCAGCTACACGGGAGGCTGAGGCGGGAGGACTGCTTGATCCCAGGACTTTAAAGCTGCAATAAGCCATGATTGTGCCTCTGCATTACAACCTGAGTGACCTTGTGTCTAAAATAATTAATAAATTAAAATGAAAATGAAAAATGGGAGTGCAGTGATTGGGAGACCCCAGGCACAGATTTGAGCATGGCTGTGTGCCCGAGGCCTGCAGCCCTGGGCAGAGGACTGTACCTGCATCTGCCTCAGGATTCTCAAGGCTACAAAGAATACCGGCAGCCCCCAGAACTGTTGCTGACATCATTGTCGTTGCAATTCTGGCTGCCCCCACCCTCCCACCACCCGTTCTCTCTCCTCCCCCACCCCACGCCCATCGGCCGGTCCTCAACACCCCCCAGATTGACGTCACCTACAACATACCTGATCCGGTGGCCAAGCCAGCTTTCCAGCTGCTTGTGAGCCTGCAGGAGCCCGAGGCCCAGGGACACCCACCCCCTGCGCCCGCCTCCTCGGCCAAGGGCCCCCGTGGGGACCGGCGCCCGGCAGATGACGACGACCCGGCAGCTCACCTGCACCACCAGGAATACAAGGTGACGCTGGAGGTGTGCACCAGGTATGGCTGCCTGCCCTGTGGGCCAGCTCTCAGGCCTGGGCCCCCCAGGATGCTGACGTGGGAAGAGGGTGGCCTCCTGGGCCCGGAAGGGGCTTCTGGCTCCAGGCGCTCGGGGGCGGTTTTTGAAATGAGTGAAAGAAAAGCAAATGCTTTTGACCAGACACAGCAGAGCCCAGTACAGTCGAGGCAGCTGGGATGGGAGGAAAGAGCATTGGCATACGGGTCCCTGCCCCCCACAACAGCACCAGGCCCTTGGGGCCTCAGCCCTCATGGGTCTTCGCTCTGAGAGGATGCTCGTTGCCATGGCGACAAGGATGCTGGTCACTGTGGCAATGATCTGGGAGAGGAGAGGTGGGTGGTTGCCATGACACCACAGCCCTTCGGAGCTGATGCCTGGGCCCCTGCCCTGCCCTTGACCCCCAGCTGGAACACATCCCAGGCCCCATCTTCGAAGGTTCTGGAGAACAGGATTTGGCCTGGCTCAAGCCCCCAGATGGTGGGTCCTGGGCCAAGTGGCTCTCCCATGCTCCCTGGCCATGTTTCCTGCTTCTCGGTGGTATCCAGTTGGGCAGGGGGTTGGGAGGTGGTTGGTCTGGTCCCAACCGTCTGCCGCCAGTCTGCAGGGGATGCCTTTGTTCCTCCCTCAGATGTGGTAGGAAGACCCAACTATGTGCCACCTGCCCCTACAGGAGTCCTCCTCCACCTACCCCAGGGCTGTGGCACCCATCCCTTCCCTGCAGGCTCTGTTCTTTCAGCTTCCCCCTCCCGGCTCCAGCACCTGGCAGGAAGGGCCAGGCATGGCAGACCCCAGAGACAGCCCAGTGACCGCTACCATGTTACAGAAAGAAACTGAGGGCTGGAGCCAGGAGTGTGTTGCCCAGGGTCTCCTGTAGGGAGCACCCAGGCTCTCGCTGCCCTGTGGCCACCTGCTGCTTCCGGTGCTGGGGGCACGGTGTGGGGTTCTGGAACGATCGGCAAGGCCTGGCCTCAGCCTCCTGCTGTACAGACAGGCTGACCGAGCTGAGGATGTCTGTGCCGGCGGCCTGCAGGCCAGGCTCTAGGCAGGCTGCCCCGGACGTCCAGCTGTGTGGCTCCAGGAAGCAGAAGGGCGCAGAATCCCACCGGTGGCCTTTCTGTTTCCCTGTCACGGAAGGTGGCTGCACGCAGGGTCCTCCAACATGGCTGTCCTGGAGGTGCCGCTGTTGTCAGGCTTCCGGGCAGATGTGGCGAGCCTGGAGCAGGTGAGGCAGTGCTGGTGGGGTCTCCAGGAACCCGGGATCAGGCTGGTGGTGGCCTGGCCCTTTGTACAATGCATGGGGTCTTTGGTTTTGGCTTTTTGGCCTTTCTGGGCAGAGGTGGGCTGTCTGAGCAGGCGGGGTGGGGATTCCAGGCAGGCCCCAGGGTACCCTTGCTGTTATGAGTGCCATGGAGGGGGCTGCTACAAAGGTGCGTGCACTCGGGGTCCACGTGGGGTGCCACGGGGTGCCCTCGGTCCACATTCTTCTGAGACCGGCTTTCGTGCTCCCAGCCCCAGGAGACCACTGCCACATCCCTGTTTTGTAGGGGAGAAAAGAGACACGGGGACAGCTGTCTTGCTGAGGTCACAGCCAGGCTTAGGCCAGGGTGGGGGTGGAGGGAAAAGGTCTACGGGTGGAGAGGGTGGGACAGGAGCCCCACCTCGGGGGCAGGGGTAGGGGAAGGGGGAATAGGCGTTCTTTCCAAAACCGCAAAGAAGTCCTAGGCTGGGAGGGGGCTTGAATGGCGCGGTGGCAGGGCTCCCTCGGCGTCTCCTGGGCCGTGGAGGAGGCGGGCCTGGCGCTGGGCTGGACTGGGGGCGGCTGTACTAAGGGAGGCTGCAGGGAGGGCGCTGCAGGGAGGAGAGGGTGCAAGAAGAGGCTGGCGCCCTGGGCAGAAGAGCGTCCTCTTGCAGGCGCGCCGGCGGGGCCTGAGGGGCGCTGGCCGTCGCCCCCGGGCCCCAGCCAGACTCGCCCAGACCCCGGCCCGGGGCTTGCTGGATGCCCACGGGCAAGCCCCGTGCCTTCCTGGGGCCTCCCGCCTGTCGGCCTTCTGCTGACCTGAGGCATCCGCGAAGGGGCGGAGAGCCCAAGGGGCCCGGAGGACCGACCTCGGCTTCTCCTCCAGCTGCTCCTCGACCGGCACGTGGAGGTGAAGAGGTACGAGCTGGCAGGACGCAGGGCGCTCTTCTACTTTGACGAGGTACTGCCGGCGGGCGCCGTGGAGGCGGCTTCCCGGAGCCCCAGCTGGGGGGCGCGGGGCGTGGCCTGGCGTGGCTTCCTCGCGTGAGGAAGACCCAGAAGCAAGAGCGCCAGGCAGCGCCAGGCCTGCGGGCGGCCGTGGGCCCAGTGGGCGGCTCCTGGTGGGAGCCGTGCGGAGGGGCGCGCAGGAAGGGGGCACTGACAGGCCACGACCTGGAGGAGCTGAGAACCACGCGCGGCCAGGCGTGTCCAGACAGGCCAATCCAGAGTAAGGGCCGGGGCGGGCTGGCCGGGGCTGGCCGGGGC